ATATTCTCTTTCAGCTCGGCCATTCTCCTCAAGTGTTTTCGAACCTCCTTGGCCAAGACGCTTCTGGAAGGAGGACCTCTTCCCTGTATCTCAGGAACGCCCAATCTCTGCCTTTACCAGCAGTCCCAAAAGGCTCCCAAGCTTCAGGCCAGACCAGGAAAGTCCTCACCTGGTAGATTTCCCTCCTTCAACCGAAGGGATAAAAAATGGGGGAGGACCTGTCAATCAAAAAGCACACACACGCCCAGGCGCAACTCACAGCCCCTTGATGATCCTTGAGAGAGAGGAGATTTTCCAAAGCAAGGTCCTTCACACATATATTTTGTGGGGGCATCTTTCTAGAGGAGGGGGAAAAAAGGCCCACTTGATTTCTTATACAGTGATTCAACACCAGTTTAAAACAGAAGCATTGCCATACTGAATAAAAAAACCTCTCTGCCTCCCATTTCTCTCTAAGGAGGAAAGGAGCCACCAGGCTGCCTTAATTAAAGCTCCCATGTGAAGGTTGGACTCTTCACTAAGCAAGCACCTCTCTTTCCCGGGTCTCCCCAAATACAAAATGTTTTGCAAAGGTGAGAACAACAGAATGAATCAGGTATGCAGCGGCCAAGGCCAGCAAGCAGAGGGTGATCCTGCAGAGCACAGCCTTGTTCACATCCACCCCCAAATGCAAGACTATACCAAATTATATTTATGGCATCACTTACACTCTCCCATTAGGATTCTGAGACTGCGGGAATCTGGGTCGCTTATCTGGAACCCAACGGAAAACCGTGCTTCCACAGGATGGCTGGGGAACCAGACTGTGCACCACAAACTCGGAGGGCTCTGCCACCTGCACCTAACGTGTCCATGCGAAAGGAACGACTCCTTACTATTTGGCAAAAGAAGAGCTGAAGATCGCAACAGGAACAAACGCTGGATTGTTCAAGGGTTAACAGTCCCAGGCTCTGCTGCAGTTCCAGAAAAGGCATCCAGGATGTTCTGCCTTGGTTGCTAACTGGCTAGTTGAGCGCCCCAAGAGACTGTTCATCTACAGTGAAAATGAGGTTTCACTCCTTGTCTACTTGGTTTCATTAAATGATTTGGAAGATTTCTGAGACAATAAGCTCTTCGTTACCCACAGCTATAAATTCACAAGAAAAATGTTTATTTACTACAAATAGTCCTTGCTCAATCATAGTACAACGGGACTGGCAACTCCACCTCTAAATGATGGAGTCACAGGCATCATCACACGGCTGTGCCAACCTAAAAGGACAGCTGTGGCAGTTTCAGTTGTTCTTAGGTGAATCCTGCACAGTTGCAGAAGCCCCACTCAGCAATGCAGAAGGGCAAAATGTGCATCAGAATGCAGTACTGCAGGCAAACTCTGCACACAGCCTGGAGTCTGATCCTGACGGGGCTCAAGTTGAATCAGCCTTCCATCCTTCTGAGACCAGTAAAATGAGGACCCAGATGGTTGGGGGAAATAGGCTGACATTGTAAATTGCCTAAAGAGTGCTGTAAACTAAAGCACTATGGGATGGTCCTATTGCTATCAACCCTCACCTCAAAGGACTCAATGAGGGGCCACAATCGGCAGAGTTTCTTCTAAATGTCATTGCAGGATGCATTTAGCCACATTACTGAACACCGAATACAAGAAACTTGAAGCAGTTGGGTGTTGAATACGGTCTGGGTGAAGCCTCCTTCAAGGCCAAAGAAAGCACTTGTACATATCCCTCTCCTTGCTCCCCACCTTCCAAACAATCCATTGAATTCACTCACTTTCTCAGGTTGCCTCGAGCAGGTGAAATTTATTGGTGGGAAATGGAGAGACTGAGATTCCATTCTGGAGTTCAGACCTGGGAAAGGATTCCTTTCCGAACTGAAATGCACACAGAGGGAGACGCACAATGGAGACCATGCAGAAGGCACAAACCCTGCACAAGAATTCTGCCTTGCTTCTGCATAATTGCAGATATATGCAGAAACAGCCTGTCCTGTTCCATTGACTAGATGGGTGCTGTGAAAGAAAATCTGCATAGGCCTTGGGGGGGGGGGGGGGGGGGAGAAGGAGGAAATTTCCTTACAGAACGCTGCTCTATGCCTATCATCCCAGAAACACAGGTAGAGGAAATCCAAATTTGCTGACCTCAGTACCAAAATGGGGGGTATTATCCAACCATCATTCAGAATAGAATTTGAAAAGCAATTTCTAGCTTCTTTGCTACTGGAAATTTTCTTAGAGCCGGAATCAAAACCTCCCACACATTTAACTCGTTCTCTCGGAGGATAAAGGAGGGGAAGGTCAACAATCTTCAGAGTTGGCAGTTTGTCTGAAATAAGGAGAAAGCAAATCTGTATTAAAAAAAAGACTGGGTTTTTTTTTCTTTCATGCACATTGGCAGATCTATTGTTAGCAGAAGAACAATGAATCTGTTTCCTCTTTAATGTTATATCAATAAGCAAATGTGGTGTTGACCATATTTGCTTATTGATATAACATTAAAGAGGAAACAGATTTCCATTTCGTTCTTAATCTTTTCCATTCACATATCTTAAAGTATATTATTTAATATGACTATATGAAAAGATGATGTTAGGAACACATTTTCTCTTCTGAGTATCTATCTTTTAAAAAAACTTCCCAAAACGTTTGAAATACAGATTGACCACTGCCCAAATGAACATTAATATCTCTTAACAACCTGCTTGCTTAAATTAAGCCTTTTTGGAATGGTTTTTAGTTAGCACCGGCTATGAAACCTAGTTTGCTACTATGGCCAGAGATGGATGTAAGAGAATAACAATGGCCCCACAGCTTATCAGCAAATTCCTAGGGACTGGCCACATGATGAAGCATGTATTGCAACATACTTTTGCTTTATGTTAGGATTATTTCCCCCCAAACCTCAAGTGAAACAAATTTGCCTAAAGCGAAATGCCAGAGCTGTGAAAAAAATGCCAGCCACATCACCCACAGGTACATTTTGGCTTAATTCAGCCCCTCTTTTATATAGCACTTTCTTATTCCATAGCCAGGAACGGAAACAACTGCCTACTAGTCGGCTTTAGTGGCCTGGCATCTAATTTCTACAGAGCACTTCTTACCTTCAGATGCTGGGAAATCTCTTCCAGGTATGGCTACGTTCTTCAGCAAAATGTGAGGATGTCCACTTTCGATTCTCCGCATAGACTCCCAGCAGGGTGGATGCTGACAAGCGATCATATTGCAAACGGTTTCATCCCATTGACCACCGATATTGATTATCCCCATTGCTGTCAGCCACTTTCTGCAACAGGATGCAAGGAAGAACAAAACAAAGTGAAACAGCTGCTCCAAAGTGGCAGATTTACAAGTTTGGTGTTCAGAAAGTCCCCCATCCTTCCGAAAACACAGTTGCTCTTCCCTTCCGATGTGATAACCCCAGGCATGACACAAAAATAACAAAGTCACAAAAGTAGAATAAATTCCCTTTAATGCCTCCAACTTGGGCCCCAATGTCCAATTATCCTCAGCTGGATAACAAACTCTTCAAAGAACAATCTACGAAGGGCAGAAATGCAGTCGAATCCAAAGTAAAGATAATTAGAAATAATTAAAAAAAATCAACACAAACCACACTGAAGTAATTAACACGGCAGGCCAGGATGATAAATGGCAGACTTTCAAAGGATAACGCAGCACCCACAGTTGGGAGGACGCCAAAACCCAGATAAGGCTCAACCAAGATAATCCACGCTTTGCTTCCAGCAAGGAGCTGTGTGCAAATACTCTTCTTATATTCTGTTCTCCCAGCTGCAACCAATGAAAGGATCAGGGCCCTTTTCTCTCCCGTAAGCCATGTTGCTCCCTTCTCTGTTCCTCCTTGCGTGCCCTAGCATGAAGAGGGGTTGGCCCTGGGTCTTCCTCTGAATGCCCAGCCAGACTGTGCCCTTCCCTTGTATCATCCACAGCCAATGGAGCCACACTCCCACTCCCTGTCAGCTGCTCAACCTCCCACTCAGAATCAGACTCCAACAAGGGCATGACATCCGAATATAATCCAATGTTGATGCAGACCCCTCAACAAAGTTCATTTGTGCTTTGGGGGCATCTCTTTCTGCAAGACAGCAAAAGAGGGGGGTTATTATGATGGGACCTCTTGGATGACCCTTGTGGTGGGTGTCTTTTCCCCCTGTGATGGGGAAGGGCAGCATCGGGATACCAAGAGAGGCGCTGCCTTCTTAGGCCCTGACCGAAACCATTGCACCTGTTGTCCAAGCATGCATCTGCTGCGGGTGTAAAAAACCCTCCACTTTAGCTTCTTGGAAGAAGCATCCTTCATGAAGGATAATTATCACAATTATTATTCTTAGGCCCATGGTCCCAGTGGAGGACCAGTCGTGGGGGAAGCTTCAGACTACAAACCGGGTGGACTGACTTAATTCTTTCGCCTCGGGAACAAAGCCAGCCTGAGGATCTGGGGCCAATCACTCTCTTTCAGCCTCAGGCAACCCATTTCGCAAAAACTTGGCCAAGAAACCCGCAGGGACCGTCTCCAAGGTCGGGACGCGACTGAATAAGGAGCCCCGCCCGCTCCGTGGCTTCTCCTGAACCAGGCCGCGTCCGAACCCCCTCCGAACCCGTCAAAGCGGGCCCCGGCGTGAGGCCTCGGCCAGGCCCCGGCCCGTCCTCCGCCCAAAAGCCCGCCTCGGGCAGGCGAGGGGCCCCTTTCCGCGACGCCCGCCGGCCGGGAGCGGAGAAGCGGCGCTTCGCCATCCCACCTGCCCGAGGTATAAAAAAAATAATAATAAATAAATAGGCGCCGTCGCTAGGCAACGACAAGCTGGCTCTCATTTCCCAGGGTGCACTGCGCCGGAAGGCAAGCACCGGATGTGGGCGGGAAAAGAGAGAGCGACGGCGAGTGCTTCGATGGGCCCCGCAAATGGCGAGGTTCCTTTCCTACTGCAGAGGGGGCGGCGCCGACCAAGGCAGCCCCGCAAATGGCTCCTCCCTCCCTCCCTCCGGAAGGGGCGTGTCGGCCCCCGGGCGCGGTGCATGCTGGGCGAGAGGGCGCCGGCCACTGGTTTGGCTCCGCGCGTCTTTCGAGCTCCCCGGCGGTGAGCGGCGAGCGGCGAGCGGCGGGCGGGGGCGGGGCCGGGCCGTGGAGGGGCGGGGCGATGCGGGCTCGGCCTTCGGGCTCGGGCGGGCCCCGGGGTCGCGCCCGGGGGGGGGGGGGGGGGGGGGGGGGTGCAGCCGGAGGCTCTGCGGGGTGAAGCGGGCTTAACAGATAATCAGAGTGGGAAGGGGCCTCAAAGGTCATCTAGTCCAACCCCTTCCCTTGCCCCCTTCACCGCCTTCCCTCCCTCCCTCCTTCCAGGCCGGCAGGATGGCTGAGCGGCCGGAGGACCTGAACCTGCCCAACGCGGTCATCACGCGGATCATCAAGGAGGCGGTGAGCCGGCGGGACCGGGGTGGGCGGGTGGGGTGCCGGGCTGGGCCGAAGCGCTTCCTCCCCCGGCGGGCTCCGGTTCTGGCGGTGCCGGAGACGGTCGCGGAGCCTTTCAGCCGACCCGCTTCCCGCCCCGCAGCTCCCGGACGGCGTGAACGTCTCGAAGGAAGCGCGGAGTGCCATCTCCCGAGCGGCCAGCGTCTTCGTGCTCTATGCCACCTCGTGGTGAGTTTTATTTATTTATTTTATTTATTTATTTGATTTGCCAATTGTTTACAAGATAATAAGTATAAATGTATACATAGTTGTGTTAGCTGGCCGGCCGCCCTGGCTTCCCTTCGGGGCCGCCGCGACCCTCCTTCCCCCCCCGGGGGGGAACCCCCCCCCCCCGCCCGCCCGCAGCGCGTAAAGAGAGGAAGGGGCTGGTTTTCAACAGGGTTTTTATTTTAAAGCACTTTTTAAGACGACCGGTTTTTCTCCATTAACAAATCATTATTAATTCTGTGCAGAGACTATCCTGGAAACGGATAGTTACCGCTGGGGCTGAAAGCCTGCCAAGACTGCCAAGCTCGGCTTGTCTGATTTCCCTTTCGTCTAGTTCAGTGGTCGCCAACCAGCAGGCCGGGGACCACTGGTGATCCGCGAGAAAATTTTGCTGGTCTGCAGAGAAATGTCACCCCCCCCCCAAAAGCAATTAATCCAGGCTGCGCAAGAACACAAGGCTTGCGTCGCTTGCATTGCAAACAACATGAGGTAGTGAGGAAAGGGCGGAGGGGGGGAACTTGCCCCACTCGTCCCACACGCCTGGCCTAGCCACCGGGCTGCTTCTTTCTTCTGCTTTTGGCTGCATGCAAGGAAAGCAGCAAAAGTTTCTTTCTTTTCCCCAAACTCCACCAGAAATGAATCTTTGGCACCCTGCAAGGCCTCCTGCTCCAAGAGGCTGCAAAGACTCATTTCTGGTGGAGTTTGGGGGAGAGAGAGAAAGACTTCTGCTGCTTCTGCTGCTTTCCTTGCATGAAGCCAAAAGTCTCTCTCTCTCTCTCTCTCCCTCTCCCTGAGAACGGAGCTGGAGATGGTATCCTGCAATCCCAAATAAAGAACGATCGATCGGTAGGACAACGGGAGTGGGGGGGTTTCCTGCAGACTTTTTGGGGGATTTTCCCAGCGTCTCCGGTCTGCGGGATTTAAAATGATGAGTTTGGTGGTCCCTGAGTTCCAAAAGGTTGGCGACCCCTGGTCTAGTTTACCAAAACGGAAGTGGAAAACTTTTAGGTATAACGGGGACACACACGTTTATTTGCTTTTATCTTTTTAAATTAGCGCCAACAACTTTGCGAGGAAGGGGAAGAGAAAGACACTGAATGCTGGAGATGTTATTTCTGCCATGGAAGAGATGGAATTCCAGCGATTCGTAGGACCTCTAAAGGAGTCCTTAGAAGGTAAGTGCACCTGGCTGCCTTCTGCACTCTCCATCCGACTCTTCTCCCTTCCCTTCACTTGCTTCTTTTAAGCTACTTGTTTGCCAAAGGCCAGTGCAAAGTTCTAAACACACTTGGCATTTTTTGTTTAAAAATTACTTCAACCGAAACAAAATCAGGAAAGATATCGATACACCAAATATGACTTGGCGTCAGAAGCAAAGAACCAGATGAAACTTTTCCAGCCCCAATTACCCTGTTAGAAAGTTTGCTGCTTTATTGCTGGAATACTATTTTGAGATACGCTATAAATATAAATATATCATAAAAAAGATTGTTGTGAAATGGGTTAGGAATAAAGATTTCAGCACTGAATGGCTTGCTCTTTAGACTGACTTCCCCCCACAAGGGATGCCCATTCATAGTTCTTCACGGATATCGGTGAGCTCCGCAGAGCCACCCTTCCACAGAAGCCGCAACAAGGCGTAATATTTTTGCCCCATCCCTTAAAGCTCTTCTTTGCATCACTGACTCGGTAGCATGCTGAACAGCAGGCACAGCGCCTCGTCGGTCTTCTGCTTTGGCGGTTTGTTTTAATGCTGTGTTGTCGGTCTTCTAGCTTACAGGAATGAGCAGAAAGGCAAAAGGGGAGTGACGGAGCTCAAGAAAAAAGACAGAGAGAAGAAGGAAGATGCCGAAGACCCTGACAAGAATCGGGAAGAGGAAGAAGAAAATGAGGAGGAGGGAGAGAGGATGGAGGAAGAGGAGGAGGAAGAGCAGCAGCAGAACGAGGAGGAGGAGGAAGAGGAGGAGGACGAGCAGCGGCGAAATGAAGAGGAAGAAGGGGAGAGCTGAACTGTCCGGTGGGGGTGGAGGCAGTGAGGAGAGAAAGCCAACGGGAGGAAACACAACGGTCTCCTTTTTGTGCTGGAAATGGCTCAGCTGTTCTGGGGGCACCTCAGGGAAACCCCTCCTTGCCTTTCTCTCCCCGGTTGGAAAGAATGAAAGGGTGACATCTCCACCGCTTCTTTCTGGGCATGGAAATGCTGCTTGAAAGGGGCGCTCCTTATCTTTCCCTGCGGTGGTGCTGATACTCTTCATTTTGGCTTTAAAAGAGTCGGACTTTCTCCACTCAACGTGTTTTTCTTCAGCACTTCATTGAATGGGGTTTAATTAAAAGTCACCTTTTGCAAAGCTGCTTTTACTCTTGGCTCGATTTATGCTCTGCTGAGCAGGAGGGATTTTATTCCTGAGCGTTTTATTCCTGCCTATTTCCTTCTGTAATAAAACGGACAGTGAACGAAAAGTGGTTCCGGTTTGCTCCTGTTCCATTCGTGCAACAAAAAAAGAGGACAAGTTAGTTAGAAAACCTTGAAGCCTTGCTGACTTCTGGATGTTTTCCTCCCATCAGCAAATCACTTTTGCAGTCGGTCTTTCCTGCTGGGGTTGCATTTCCAGTCTTCACTCCTAAATGTGGACCAAAATACCCTTCAGCTAAGAAAAGGCACTTTAGGCTATAAAAAGCAAGTCAGCTGCTGGGGTCTTGTGGGGTGGGAGGGTAGCACCATTTCAAATGCTTCTGCAGGCCGTCACTTCTGATTCCAAAGTATTACCTGAGCCAAATTCACATCCAACTCTTGGATCCCTTGGCTCCCAAAAGTTAAAAATCACCTTCTCCCTCCCACACACAGGAGTTTATAGACTCTCAAGTGGTTGTAGAAGTATTGGGAGTCCCTAACCACTAGTTAGGGTCATCACCAATCCAGCTGTTCCTTCTGGGCATTGAGTTTCCAGCTGTTCTGGCTGTAGAACTGGGAGAACCAGCGCCGGTGCCTCAGGATGGCGGCATCTTCCTTCACCAGCAGCGGCTTGGAGAGGAACTTCTTGTTGTTCCAGATCATTACGTCCCGCTCAAACTGGTTCAGGAGGGAAAGAGGAAGACAAATGATCAGGAAGCAGCAGCAGAACAAAACCCTTGGCCTAAAAGGCATGGAACAATATAAGGAAATCCAGAAAAATGTCAGGTATCCGCTGTGTTTTTGTTCAACCCTCCGGCCAGGAGAGGGTGGCTCCAATGAGTCATCCCAGAGGGGTCGTACCCTTCTTGGAGTCTGATTCTGAGGGGGAGATTTAGCGACTGACGGAGAGTGGCTGCAGTGGCTGTGGAAGAAATGAGGGAATGTCCAGCTGGGCATTCAAAGGAAGACCCAGGGCCAACCCCTCTTCATGAGCCATGCACGGAGGAACGGAGAAGGGAGCAACGTGGCTTATGGGAGAGAAAAAGGCCCTGATCCCTTTCATGAGTTGCAGCTGGGAAAACAGGATATAAGTGGGGAGTTTGCACACGGCTCCACGCTGGAAGCAAAGTGTGCATTATTTTGGTGGAGGCTTACCTGGGTTTTGGCTTCCTCCCAACTGTGCTTGCTGCATTATCATGTGAAAGTCTGCAATTTATTATCCTGGCCTGCCGTGTTAATTACTTCAGCATGGTTTGTGTTGGGTTTTTTTTTTTTTAATTTCTAATTATCTTTACTTTGGGTTTGGACTGCATTTACTCTCTTCGTAGACTGTTTTTGGAAGAGTTTGATATCCAGCCAAGGATAATTGGACATTGGGGCCCAAATTGGAGGCATTAAAGAAAATTTATTCTACTTTTGTGACTGTTATTTTTGTGTCACACCCCGGGTCATCACACCCTTCCTCCCCAACAGATGCACTCCTCTGTCCCTCACCAGCCCTGAGGGGGCAGGAGGTCGCACGGACCGAGTTTTCCCCCAGGACCATCCCTGCAGCTCCCCTCACCTGGACTCCCTCAGCCCACAGTATCAGCTTGGCTACGAAGGACGGTATGTTGCGTGGGTAGTAGATTTGGTGGACCACGTGCTGCAGAAGTGGCTCCAGAGGGATGACAGTCTGAACGATCAGCCCCTTGCCCAGGAAAGCGTGTCTCAGGGCCAAGGTTACCAACCCAGGACCGATCTGAACGGAGAAGACAAAAACCACCCAGTTAAGAGTCCATTTTCCCCTCCAAACTGAATTCAAACTAGATAGGGATTAAGCCAACAAAAAACACCCCAACGAATCAAGAGTGATTATTACGTTTATCTCTCTCTCTCTCTCTTTGGGAGAGGCAACCAATTCAACATCACAGTAATCGATGCAGTCCCTGGCTTGGGACAAACACCGCCCTCTCCCTGGAAGGAGAGGATCTCGTACCTGCCTGGCCGTAACATGTAGATCTAGGAAGGGGATGGGCTTTCCAAAGAGCACCACGTGGTGGGTAAGAAGCATGACTGAACAGTGTCCATTGGGCTCCGGCTCGGGCTGCCACTCTGCCTGGGAAACAAGCATTGCATTGACTGGAAATGCTCCTGCTGCTTTGGCGCCAAAGCCCCCACCAGCCCAAATGGATACACACACACATACACACATACCCAGGGGTGGGATTCTACCGGTTCGCACCTATTCGCTAGAGCCGGTTGTTAACATTCTAAGCAGTTCGGAGAACCGGTTGTTAGAAGAAATTACTGGGCTAATCCTGTAAGGAAGGCAGGAAGGAAACATTCTGGTGTTGCTTACAGAATCTGCCTCTCCATTAACCCTTCTTGGCAGGACTAGACTTCCTGTCTCAAGAACGTCTCTGGAGTTTTTTCCCCCTCCTTTGCTGGTACTTTGCTTGCGTGGAGTGACCCTTTAAAGTTGCAATGGCACTGGAAAAAAGTGACTTATGACCATTTTTCACACTTACGACTGTTGTAGCATCACCACAGTCATGAGAGGCCAGGCGAGGAGATGCGTGCCTCGATGTGATATTGAGTTGGCCACACCCAGCCCAATTGCATGACCACCAAGCCACGTCCACCCAGTCACGTGACCACCAAGCCACACCCACCACATAAGTCACGCTCACAGAATCGGTTGTTAAAAATGTTGAATCCCACCCCTGCGCATACCCCTTTCTTTCTTTCCAGCATTACTCACGTTCTGGAGCCTCCCCACACACATTGCAAGCAGCCCAGGTGGGAGGTGGGGGCTGATCTGCCGCTATCCGCAACTGAAGGCAACGTAGGATGACAGGGAAGGGGGTCTCCTCCATGCCTGTCCTCCTCCGAGGCTTAGTAGCCGAGGCTTTTGGCGCGTGTTTAATGTTGGCTTTCCAAATATAGGAATGTAGGCAGCTTTGCCCGCTCCTCCCTTGTGTTCATGTTTAAAGTTGCAGCAGCACAGCCTCCTTGGCTTTCACAACAAGAAATTGGCCCGCCGGGATTTGGAACCAGTTGCTGGCTGCCTTACCTCCCAGGTGTGCTTGAAAAATGCCCAGCGGTGGTTGTCCGTGAAGCGTAGATCACTTCCACTCAAGACCGAAGGATTATGGAGAAAGGAAAGGTGGGCTACATCGGCAGCATTCTCCGGAATTTCCTGCCCGGGAGGGAAAGGAAACATTCACCTAGGCCCTGCTTGGCCAGAGGCAACTTAGAAGCACATCTTTCGCCAAGACTAAGAGAGTCACCACTGGCGGAAGCCCATCTAACTTTCAAACCCCAGAACCGCCTCTCTGCACCCCGCCACTTCTCCCATTCCGCTCCATCCCGCACCCCCAGGTTCAGTTTGAAAAGGTGCCACCGCTGGCCTCCCCTCGGCGGTCCAAGCTACCTCGATGTGCGCGCTGACAAAGTGCTCCGTTGCAGCCCGGAAGGCCCAGTTGGGCGACGACACCTCTTCCTGCTCGGCTACTTGCCATGCTGGGCTCGTGCCATCACAGTGATACCACACCATGATCATGTTGTTGACTTCACATGATGGCCAGACTTTGGTGCTTGCAAATGCAGGCACTGGAAGATATGAAGCACGAGAAGGTAAAAAGCGCCTCTTTGTGGACTGACACTCCATCCCAGGAGTGTAGGATTTCCCATCGTCGATGCATACAAGCTAACGCCAAGTTCATTTATTTGTCCCCGTGGCTGCACTGAAAACAGGACCGAAATGGTTTAGCAATTTATTAATGCTTTAAAAATAATCAGCCAAATAAAATTGTGTCCAAAATTTTGGAGGTCTGTCACTAGCTACATTTCTAGGAAGGAATTTAGAGGAACAAAATCCATTCTGGTTCCCCTGTTGCTAGGCATGGCTCACCTGATGCCTGAGCCAACTCATCCCCTGGAGAGTCAAAATGAGATGTCTCCCCACCCCATCCCACCCCCATAGCAGACAAAGGCCCTCCGTGATGCTCAGGGACACCCTTGGTTGCAACACCACAGCCACTAAGAACAACTAGACACAAGAACAGTGTTTTCCGAAACGCCATCACTCTGCTAAACAAATAATCCCCTCAACACTGTCCAACTCTTTACAAAGTCTACACTACTATTACTATTAATCTTCTCATCACTCCTTATCACTCATCCCCTCCCACCTGTGACTGTATGACTGTAACTTTGTCACTTGTATCCTTACGATTTATATTGACTGTTTCCTAGTATGATTTGATTGCTTACTGTACCCCATGACTATCATTAAGTGTTGTCCTTGATGATTCTTGACTCATGATGAATGTATGTTTTCTTTTATGTACACTGAGAGCATTTGCACCAAGACAAATTCCTTGTGTGTCCAACCACACTTGGCCAATAAAGAATTCTGTTCTATTCTATTCTATTCTATTCTATTCTATTCTATTCTATTCTATTCTATTCTATTCTATTCTA